GTGTCTCCATTTTCCAACAGGTGAACAGGAAGCTGGATAGCATTGTCAGTTTCCCTTGGAGAGCAAGGAGCAGTAACACCTCAGAATGGCAGCTAAGTATCAGATGAGTGCTGATGCTTGCTTTTGGGCCATAGTGAACAACTCCATCCTGATTGGTCTAGGAGATACTTAGAACCTACAGCTAGGTATCAAACTGGCAAAATTGTCAGTGCCGGTGGCCTCAGGCTTCGTATAAAAATGGAATGTCAAACATAAATGAATACTATGCAGTCCTTTATTTAAACTATTTGTCAATATAGCTACCTTCAGGCTTTTAAAATTTTTTATTTATTATTATTACAGAGTGGGGAGGTCACATTTGTACATGCCATGGTGCTAATATGATGGTCGAGAACAACTTTTGGGAGTCACTTCTCCCCTTCCATGTTTATGTAAGTTCTGGGGGTGGAACCTAGGTCTCCAGGCATGTAATGCAAGTGTCTTCGCCCACTGGACCATCTTACTACCCTGCCTGTTATTTTAAGATAGAGTCCCGGGTAGCACAGCCTGGTCTTGATTGGGCTTTGTAGCCAAAACCAAAAACTGATCTTCCTGCTTCTGCCTCCTTTAAAAGTATCGTCAGAGGACAGATTGAGAGGCCTCCTCAGTTCACAAATGCCCAAGTGTAGTTTAGAGGTCTTCTTTTACCCCTTACTATGAAGACTTGATAACGTTAACCATAGATGTCTTTCTCTTTTCTTATAAACAGAATAAAGTAAATTCACTGACTGGTAGAATAGGATGGTATATTCGTTACTTGTTTCGTTGCTCTGCCAAAATACCTAATAAACAACTTGTCTTAGCCACATTTCTGTTGTTGTGATACAACACCATGACCAGAGCAACTTATACAGCATTTAATTGGGCTTGTGGTTTCAGAGGGTTAGAGTCCATGATCATCATGGCAGGGAGCGTGACATCGGATAGGAAGGCATGGCACTGGAGCAGTAGCTGGTCCAGTATAGTGCAGAAATAGACTCCAGAATTTAACACATCTTAATATTGCATGTCTGGGATGTAACAATTGCTAAATATTATACCAGATGTTATGTTGTACCCCTGTAATCTGAGCATTTGGGAGGTGGTGGATAAAGGGTCCAGAAGTTCAAGGTCATCCTCAACTACAAAGGAATTTTAAGGCCAGCCTGTGCTACATGAGACCTTGTGTCAAACCAGCAAAAAGACATGTCTGAATATCATCTTAGACCTCTAGGTTAAAGGTGATTCAGCTTTGAAACTGGGCAGATAGTTCATCAATTAAGAGCACTTGTTGCTCTTCAAAACACCTGAGTTAAACTGCCAGCACCCACCTGATGGTTCACAGCCATCTTGTCTCTAGTTCCAGGTGGATTAAATACCCTCTTCTGACTTCTGTGGGCACCATGTGATGCACATATGTGTGGTGCACATGCATGTGGTGCACATACATACATGTATGTGGGCTAAACACGCACATAGGAAATGAAAAAATTTTGAAAAAGATTCAGCTTTAGGGTGCTAATATTTCAGAGAAACAAAAGACATGTATTGGGCTAACCACTCACATATAAAATGAAAAAATTTTGAAAAAGATTCAGCTTTAAGGTGCTAATATTTCAGAGGAACAGAAGACACTCAATTCGAAAAAAAATACCAGGCCCAGATCCATTATGTTTCTATAAGAGCAAAAAACCTAATATGCATAGTAAAACCACCATAATTTGTAGTAATATTTTGCTTGTAATCTAACAAATAAAGCTTGCCTGAAGATCAGAGTGCAGAGCTAAGCCATTAGTCATAGAGGTCAGGCAGTGGTGGCGCACACCTTTAATCCCAGGACTCGGGAGACAGAGGCTGTGGGATTGTGTGTTCAAGGCCACCCTGGGCTACAAGAGATTGACTCTGTCTAAAAGAGAAACAGAGCTCACACACAAGTGATCTCAGCACTTGGGATCCCATACCTTTAATCCCAGCACTAGGGAGGTGGAGACAGAAATGATATGGCTGGACGGAGAGAGGAATATTAGGTGGGAGAATTCAGTCTGAGATGCAGTCTGAGGATCCAGTCTGAGAGGCGGTCTAAAGTTTTATAAAAACAGCAGCAGTCTGGGTTTTTATTATTAAGAGCAATTAGAATTCGTGCTACACATAATTGTCAGCAAGTGCAGCTCCAGGGGATCCAATACCCTCACACAGACATACATTGAGGCAAAACACCAATGCACATAAATAAAAATAGATGATTAAAACTTAAAAAAAAAAGGGCCGGAGAGATGGCTCAGTGGTTAAGAGCATTGCCTGCTCTTCCAAAGGTCCTGAGTTCAATTCCCGGCAACCATCTGTAATGAGGTCTGGTGCCCTCTTCTGGCCCCCAGACATACACACAGACAGAATATTGTATACATAATAAATAAATAAACATTAAAAAAATCCTAAAGAATCTCTGAATCATTTATTTTAAAAGGGTAAATATTAAGATATATCTCAGTAAAGCTTTTTTAAAAAAACCTCAATTTGTACATGCACATCTGTTGTCGTTACTAACTTTCCAGTCATTTAATGGGAAATTATATGAGCAAACAAAAGTCAATAGATCTGGTTGTATTTTAGGGAATCTTAATGACCTAGAAGTTGCTAATTGCATATATTAAGGTAAGCATTGAAAGATTATTTTATTCTCATTGAAAATATAAAGTGATTGTGATATACTGGAAAATATAGGCTGAACTCTTATTTGATAGTTTGATTTTGAGGAATTTTGTCATTTGTGTGTGTGTGTGTGAGTATGTGAGTGTGTGAATGATCCCAATCTGGCCTCAGTCTCCTAGGTGTAATACCTTGCACGGGTTCTTTCACATATGTTGTGGACAGAACTGCCTATGTTTATCTGCTCAGATCTTATTTAGTATGTCCTCTGTTTCTGGTACTTCAAAGTCATCCTATAGAAAAGCTGTGTTGTTTGAACTGAAAGGATCACCAGGAAAGGCCATGCAGTGTTTTTAACTTCAGATAGCAGCTCCATAGCTATGCATGTAGATTTATTAATATTTCTTTTACATTTGCTACCTTCTGAAGTTAGTGACACATCCTGACTAGTCCTCATATTCAGAAAGAAGTACAATACATTTGGTTTATCTGTTTTCTCCTACTATGTCTCCTTCCAAGTTATTTCCATAGAAGTGTCATGAACAAAGTTTTTCACATAGATTTTAGCCAGCTTTTTCTTAATCTATTTCCCTAACAACCCTGTTACTGAGCCTTGCTCTTAAGCTGCTCTCAGCAACCTTCCTGGCACAGGTTTAATGCTGATTAGTCCCTTGACAATTCTAGAACCAAGCTTTATGCCAGGATAAAGAATAATCATCAGTTTGCATGTGGTCCAACTGCAGTTGTGGAATCTAGGGTGTGTCACATGGAGATCATATTTTGTTTACCAAGGTGAGGTGAAATTAGCATGGCATGAGCGGGGAAGAGAGGAGCAGGCCATACTAGTCAATTATGACGCAGTAAAGTTATTAACAGTTATCTGATAATGAATCTAATGGGATTGAAAGGTTGACTGAATACTTAATTCAGGCGATCTTTAAGTCGCTTTGGATGGGAAGATAATATATAGTCCTAAAGGCTTAGTTAAAAGTCATGTAAAAGACGTGCTTGCTAATAATTCTAGTAAAAGTGATGTTTGAATGATACTTAAAAACTCAGAGATGGCATTTTAGATACTCTACATGTATGTGTCTCTTACTCAGTTCTGGGTCTGACGTAAGGTGTAAGATGGACCCTTAGTGGAGTGGAACTCTGTCTTTGGGTTTCTGGAGATTTCATAGCCACACTTGAAGACCCTGGCTTCTAGAACTCCTTCATACAAGACTGAGTTGAGGGATGAAAACCCTATTTGGATTTTCTTAGTTTTGGCCCAATAATGTTCTTTTTCTCTTAAAGGATCCTTGTTCTATTTGGCATTTAATTGTCACATTTCCCTAAGCTCCTCTTGGCTATGATAGTTTCTCAGGTGTAGCGATGAGTGGGCGGGCTGCGTCCCCGCCACCCGGCCGCCCACATGGCTAGCTTTAAACCCGAAATAACAACACACAAATTGTATTCTTTTAAGCACTGCTTGGCCCATTATATCTATCCTCTTCTCGGCTAACTCTTGCACCTGGACTAGCCCATTTCTAATAATGTGTAGCACTGAGGTGTGCTTACCGGGAAGATTCTAGCCTACGTCCATCCTGGGTCGGAGTTTCATCGCATGTGTCTGCCTGGGAGAGGGAAGCATGGCGTCTCTGCTCCACAGAGCAGAGCTGTGGAGTCTGAGCTTACTTCTGTTCTGTTTACTCCTCCCACCTATGTTTTAACCTATCAGGGCCAAGCAGTTTCTTTATTGCTTAACCAATGAAATCAACAGATTGTTATATGACACTCCCACATCACTCAGGCTTTGTTGTTTCTGGTTTCTTTGATAGTTTTGGTGAGTATTTACCAGATATGAACCCTCTTGAATGTGATGTTTACTCATGAGACTAGATTTACGGAGTTGTATGTCAAAAGCATGTTTGATCTTATAAGCAAGTATTAAACTGCCTTTCCCACTGGCCGTGGTTGAGCTTCTTGTCTTTCAGCATCCTTGTTAGCATTTTGGGATACTAATTTTTGGACCACACCCTTTCCAATTCATTTTACCATCACACTTCGTTAGCTTTGTTTTAAAATTTTCTTGAAATTAGTCTTAAGATGTATGTGCTTTTCACCTATACAGATAAGTGTTACAGATGTCTGACTGGTATTTGTTATGTTAAAATTACATGGTTTTGCTTGTAAGCTACATATCACTGGTGTTAAGCTGTGTGCTTGACTTGAATGTCTCCAATTTAATTGCTTTTGTTTAATTTTGTATTCTCATTTTCCATTCTTCAGTATCATTTTTGTTTTTTGTTTTTTGCTTTGTTCATAAAGATTTTTGTTTCTGTTACATTATGTAGTTTTGTACCAATGGCTAGAAGCAGATCGTCATGGCAAGAGCCAAGAAACTACAAATACGACTTCAGGTAAAAATAGTTTAAAAATGAATGGGGTATTAGAAATCATTAATTTTAATTTGCCCCATGTCCCATTGTGAATGTTTCTTAAATTTCTTAGACAAAATTATAGATGATATTTGTATTTTGTTCTCTCATCTGCATCTTAATTTTCATAAAGACCTCACTTCACGCCTTGAAAAAACATATTTACTAGTCTAAGCTGCCTTGGCATGTAGTTTCTATTCCCTTAGGAAGAGAGGCTTAATTGAAGCTTAAATTTATTAGATTACTTTGCAATATTATTTAAAATTAGGCCTGTATATAGTTATAGCAAAGATACTTACATTGTAGCTATGTTTTGGCAATGATAAAAATGTAACATAGGGTCCTTACAAGTATATAAATACTTGAAGAAATTTATACTCCTTATTTGTTTCAGGACTATAGTTAAAAGGTGAATTTTAATTTAAGGGTGTTAATATGTGATTTCCATTTTATGTGAATCTAAAAATCTCAAACCTAATAACTTTTTTCTGCTTATAAATCCTAAACTAGTGTCATACAAAATATGCATTCAAAATGAAAAGAGTAGGTTGTTCTTCCAGCTCCCAGGTCCCTAAGGTAATTCTAGAACTCTTTTTTTTCTCCCACTGATGTTAGTAAGAATAGAATAACTGCATTTACTGATTTCTGAATCCTTACCAGTGATGCCAGATTCTATCCTAATTTCTTTCAAAATATTATTTGCCAAGACAGCTGTACATACAGCAGTGATCTTTCTTGTTGCTCTTCTTTTTTTTTCACACAATATTAAGAGAAACTGGTGCTGGTGGTGCTAATAGTTGTGGTGGTGCTGGAGGTGGCGATGGTGGAGGTGCTGGAGGTGGTAGAGGTGCTGGAGGTGGAGGTGGCGGTGGAGGTGAAGGTGGAGGTGGTGTTTGTAGAGGATACATGCTACTGTTTGTGTTTTGTGTCTTTGTGAAATTCTTTTTGGGGATAAATTGGTTGTGCCTTGAGAAGGCTGGTGGTTCCACAGGCAACAGAACAATTATATTAAAAATAACACTATTGGCTGCTGGGTGTGGTGGCACATGCCTTCAACCCCAGCGCTTGGGAGGCAGAAGCAGGCAGATCTCTTGAGTTTCAGGCCATCCAGGTCTGAGATCTACGAGAATCAGGGCTGTTACACAGAGAAACCCTGTCTCAGAAACAAAAAAAGAAAAGAAAAGAAAGAAGCTATTATGACTTCATTTATTTATCTTCTGCCCCATTTATAAATTGATGTCTAGATGAAGATGTTAATTTTAACCTTGCATAGGCCGAAATTCATTAAAAGGTAAATATTACAAGTAGTTTTATCCTGGGTTATGTTCTGTTTCTATTTCTGTGGTATTTTACAGTTTGCTTATAGTTATGGGTAAAAACAGACATTTGACTGATTGTTTTTTGATACAAGGTCTGCCTATTTTGTCCTTACTAACCTAGAGCTCACTCTGTAGACCAGGCTGGCCTTGAGCTCACAGAGATCTGCCTGCCTCTGCTTCCCAAGTGCTGGAATTAAAGTGTGTACTGGCATGCTCAGCTGAGTAGCATAGGTTTTTAGAACCAGAGGACCTTTTTCTTGTCTATTTGCTTATTTATTATTTAAAGACCTAAAGTGATGTGAAATCTACTGTTTTTTTAAACCAAGAAGATATAAAATAGCTTACTGTTCACACAAACATCTAGTATCTTAAGAACATCATTTACCCAGAAGTCAACAATTTTGAATCCTGAATCCTGTGTTCCTCATTCACAGTGACTCATGGACAGGGTAACGTTTATCTCAACTTTTGCTCATTAGGTAACCTAGGAGCAGGGCATACAAATTGATAAATTTCTTAAAGCATTTATTTATTTGTCTGTCTGTTTATTTATTGAGAAAGAACTCAACTCTGTCGCCTAGGCTGGCCTGGAATTCACTATGTAGCCCAAGTTGGCCTACGATTCACAGTGATCTTCATGCCTCTGCCTCTCAAACAACTACTGGAATTATAGGCTTGAAAAAACCACACTTAGTTTTGGCGTTCCTTTAGCAGTTTCTCTCCTGGAAGTAGAAGCTCTCAACTCTTAGAATATGGAACTACTTACTAGAAAGATACAGGAGAATCCAAAGAAAATGACCATTTGTTAAGGTCTTCAATTAGAAGCCATACTTTATTTGTTTTCAGTAAATACATTTAAATTATGTGCTTTATTCATAAAAGTTTCTATACATTTAATATTGTTTCCAACAAGGTATTTGTGTGTAACATTTCCTTTATGTGAGTTTTTAAAACTTACACAACTCAAGGCTGTTTTAGTATCTTATCTTTTCTTATTTTTATCCCAAGTGGAAACTGAGTCAAATCTAAAAAGATGTCAGTGCCACTTCTAAATCCGACTGCTTTGTGATTCTTTTAATTGTGCAAATTCTGGTAAATTACATTTATATCTTTCTAAGATTGTAGTTTGTACTCAATTAGAACTAAAAAGTAGAAAGCATCCAGGTCTTTAATCCCAGCACTCAGGAGGCAGAGACAGATAGATACAGGACAGCTAGAGCTGATAATAGTCTCAAAAAGACCAAAGAAAAGAAAAGAAAGGAAAACACAGGAAATGGTGAAATTCCTTTGAGGTCTTCTAATCCCTTGATACTAACTTTTTGACATTGAGTATTTAAGATCCATCTGAATCGAGCTATTTTATGAAACTAAGCTATTTGGGGATAACAGTCTTATGGAGATGACAAACAAGTCTAATTATTCTCACCGATTTTTTTTTCTGGGGGAGGTGGTTCAAGACAGGGTTTCTCTATGAAATCCTAGCAATCCTGGAACTTACTCTGTGGACCAGGCCGGCCTTGAATTTAGAGAGCCACGTGCCTCTGCCTCTCAAGTACTAGGATTAAATGTGTGTGCCACCCGTATGGAGTTATATTTTCTACTGTTAACTTTCTAGAAATTTGGCAGGTAACAACTTGGGTATAGAATTACTTATTTCTTTAAAAAGTTAATGTATTTAATGTGTTTTACCCATTAGACAGCCCGCAGTGATGTTTCTGGTGTTGCTGATTTGGTCACTGAAAACCTGTATGTAAAGCCCTGTCTGTCAGACCCTTTTGCGGCAACGTAAACAAAATCGCCTACTCTACTGCAGCATTGGGTTTGTGTATAAAACTTCAATATCATAGCCATCAGTTTAAATCAGGTTTAATCAAGATTTCTTCAGTGAAGTGTTTCTGTATACGTTTTTATCATCTTATGTTGAAATGAGTATAATAATTACATGCACCACTGTTATTAGCATATTTTGATTTTTAGTGTTAAATATAGCTGAGATTTTAAATTTTAGATTCTAGTCCAGGTGGCGGCTGCACAGGCTTTTAATACCAGCACTGGGTGAGCAAAGGCAGCTGGATCTCTGTGAGTTCAAGACCAGCCTGGTCTACAAAGTAAATTCCAGGACAGCCAAAGTTACACAGAGAAATTGTCTAAAAAAAAAAAAAAAAAAAAAAAACAAGCAAACAAAAAATTCAAATTCTAAAGTTTTTAAGTACAGGTTTCTTTTTCTTTGTCTTTTATTTTTTAAATTTTTTTAAAAAATATTTATTTATTTATTATGTATACAATGTTCTGTCTGTGTGTATGCCTGAAGGCCAGAAGAGGACACCAGACCTCATTACAGAGAGTTGTGAGCCACCATGTGGTTGCTGGGAATTGAACTCAGGACCTTTGGAAGAGTAGGCAATGCTCTTAACCTCTGAGCCATCTCTCCAGCCCCCTATTTTTTAAATTTTTGTTTACTATTTCTTTTTTGAGCTTTTAAGACAAAGTCTTACCATGTAACCTTGACTAGCCTGGGATTTTCACTATATAGAATTTACAGAGATCCACCTGCCTCTGCCTCTTGAGTGCAGACTTTTTATTGATAGTTCCTCAGTTGACAATAGTTTTAAAATAAGGTTGTTAAGTATAATCAGTAAATGTTTTAAAAAATATACGTGTATATTAGCCAGGCACAGTACCACATACCTTTAATCCCAACACTGAGCAGAGGCAGGGAGATTTCTGAGTCTGAGGCCATCCTGCTCTATAGAGCAAGTTTTGGGACAGTCAGGGCTATACAGAGACACTCTGTCTTGGGAAAAAAAATAATTTTATACATATAGCAAATATTTTTTTAAATTATTTTGTTTTTTAAGTTCCAGTTATTCATTGATTATTAATTATTTGTTGTAGGCGAAAATTTTGACCAGAGTCCTTTGAGAAGAACGTTCAAATCAAAAGTTCTGGCCCATTATCCTCAGAGCATAGAATGGAACCCTTTTGATCAAGATGCAGTGAACATGGTATAGTTTTTTTCTTTTTCTCTCCTATTTGTTTAGCATTCCTTTTATCTGAATAGAATATAAATGGTAAATGTCTGTATTATTTAATACAATTAATCCTTTAAATTCTGTGAAAATAGTAATTTTAAGATTTTATTTTTTAATGTACATGTCTACTTTTTGTGTGCTACATGTGTATGAGTGTCCACAGAGGCCAGACGAGGGCATCAGACCCGCTGGAGCTGGAGCTAGAGGGTCAGTTCAGGTCCTCTGGAAGAATATCAAATGCTCTTTCTCTGCACAGACCCCTAGAAATACAATACTGTCTGTCTTTACAGATGGGGAAACTGAGTCTCAGAGAAGATACTTTCTCAGGTTTTCCACAGCAGTTCTCACAGTATATTGCTTGTTAGGAATACAGAACCTCAAGTCCATTTCATTTCCTACTGTTAAGCTGTTTGGGGTTTGTATTAATACATAGATGCTTGGTAAACAGTGATGAACCACTCTGCTTGAGGGACGGAGCACAGTGTTTCCACATATCAAGGAATAATGTGTGGTGGGTTTGTATTGTCATTTTTCACAGGCATCATGAAGATGGAAAGGAACTTTTACACTGTGTATATGTCCATGGGCTCGGTTATACCCTTGGAAGTGGAAGACAACTAGGAAGAGTCCGTTCTCTCTTTCTGCCTTGTATGTCCTGGTGACCAAACTCAGTTGTCAGGTTCGGTCATGAGTATCTTTTTACCCACTGAGCCTTCTTGCCAACAATATTTTTTTTCTTCAGTAGACAGGATTTCACTGTAGCCCAGACAGCCTTGTGATTTTGGCAGTCTTTCTGCCTCAGCCTCTCAGGTGCTGTGCTGGTAAGGAACTTAGATGCATCATTTAAACAGATTTAACGCAATGCCCAGCAAAATCCCAGCAAAATTCTTCAAAGACCTCAAAAGAAGGGTACTCAATTTCACATGGAAAAACAAAAAACCCAGGATAGCCAAAACAATCCTGTACAATAAAAGAACTTCTGGAGGCATCACAGTCCCTGACTTCAAACTCTACTACACAGCTACAGTACTGAAAACAGTCTGGTATTTGCATAAGAACAGACAGGAGGACCAATGGAACCGAGGAGAAGACCTGGATATTAATCCACACATCTTTGAACACTTGATCTTTAATAAAGAAGCAAAAAATATCAAATGGAAAAAAGAAAGCATATTTACCAAGTGGTGCTGGCATAATTGAAATCAACATGTAGAAGGATGAAAATAGACCCATATCTATCACCATGCCCAAAACTCAAGTTCAAATGGATCTAAGACCTCAACATAAAGCCAGCCACACTGAACCTTATAGAAGAGAAAGTGGGAAGTACACTTGAATGCATTGGCACAGGGACCCACTTCCTAAGTATAACCCCAGCATCACAGTGAGAGAAACAATTAATAAATGGGACCTCCTGAAACTGAAAAGCTTCTGTAAAAAAAATCTTTCTAATAAAAAGGATATGGAGTGTTAGAATTATAGAATTTGGAAAGGGGAATTGCTAAAACTCAAACCAAAAAATGTAATTCCAGCACTTGAGAAGTAGAGGCAGTAGAATTCATTATCATCTACTCATTCGTTAAAATCCAGCCAGGACTACATAGAACTCTTTGAAAATACCACCCAACCAAATAAATAAATAAATGGAAAAAAATAAATTCAATAAAATTCTAGCCAAACTGCCCAGAAGGTGAGATAATTAAGGACCCTTGGTCACTCATACTAGAAGAAGGATATGGACAGCATTGTCCAGTGTTTGGTTACAAGACACATCTTATTGTTAGTTATCTTATTGTTAGTTGAAGAGGATATTATTGGTAAATAACAATATTGTTGGTTAACAAGAGACATAAGAGCCATGGTAAGCAAATTGTGATTATCTCTTAGGTTGTCTGAGAGATATGTCTTTGTTCCTGGTAATTTATGTAATTCATCATATTTTCCAATTCACAATTCCCAGAATTAGAAATACAAATTTTGCCTTTTTAGTTTGTAGAAAAGCATTTAAGAAAAATTCTTACATCTGTTATCTGTGTCATAGGAAGTCTTTCTTCACTTGAATATAACTTTTGGCAAGCTTTCCTTGTAAATGTTTGAATGTGTGCTCAAGAAAGCTACAAACCCTTAACTGAATAGCTGGCCACTTTTCAAAAAAAATTGTGAGCTTTGATTTTCTGATTTGGGTGGTAGGAAAGCTGTCAATAAACTTAAGTCTTAGCCTGCATAGTGACATAACCTTAGCACATGGAAGATAGAGACCGAAGGATCAAGAATTCAAGTTCATTCTTGGCTGGCTACATAGAAGGTTCATGACCAGACTGGAATACATGAGACCCTATCAACAAAACAAAAACAAAAACAATAATTAAAAACAACAAAAAACATGAAAAAAAAATCAAATTTGACCTTTTTAAAAGCAGTGTCTTTGCCTGTCGCTGCATTTCCACACTGCCCACTTGATATGAAAGGGGAACTTCTGGGGAGCTACAGACATGTCTCCGCAATTAAGAGCTCTTGTTGCTCTTACAGAGGACCTGGGTTTACTTTCCGCACCCAGTGTAGCAGCTCACAGCTGTCTGTAACTCCAGTTCCAGGGAACCTGGCACTCTCTTTAGGCTTTCTGAGGTACCAAGCAGGTACATGGTGTGCATACATATATAAAAACAAAACACTTAAAATAAAAATAAATAAATCCTTTTTAAGAAGATACAGAGAGCCAGGCATGGTAGCAAGCCTTTACTTCTAGCCCCTGGGGAGGTAGCGCTAGGAGGATCAGTAACTCAAGACCATTGTTGGCCACATAACAAGCCTGACCACGTAAGATATGTTTTACAAACAGTAAATAAGTAAGCAAGCAAGATAATTGGCATAGCAATGTATGATTTGGGTAGATTTGTCAGTCTGCACTCCCATTGGAATGGTTCACAGACTAGGGGGCTATCCGGTGAAGACTGATCCTCTCAGGTCTGTTTCCTAGGCTGGGCACGAAGCTTAGTCTCCATCTGATCTGCCAGCAGCCTGACAGCTTCAAGTCAGGCAGGTTTTTGTTGTTGTTTTAATTTATGAAAAACTTTTATTCAGTTTCAAATTAAAATTATAAAAACCTATTAGCTTGTTTTAGAAAAGGGAACACATGCCTAATTTCTTACAAAGGAATAAAGTATTTTACCTTCTCCCAACTATTTATGAGGATATTAACAATCTTTTTAGTTTTTTTAATATTTATTTATTTATTATGTATACAACATTCTGCCTCGATGTATGCCCGCACGCCAGAGCAGGGCGCCAGATCTCAGTACAGAAGGTTGTGAGCCACCATGTGGTTGCTGGGAATTGAACTCAGGACCTCTGGAAGAGCAGCCAGTACTCTTAATCTCTGAGCCATCTCTCCAGCCCAATCTTTTTAGTTTTTAACCCCATGTTTCAAGAACACTTACAAAAAATTGTTTTGTCTCAGCTGGACAGTGGTGGCCCATGCCTTTAATCCCAGTACTTGGGAGGCAGAAGCAGGCAGATCTCTGTGAGTTCGAGGCCAGCCTGGTCTATAAGAGCTAGTTCCAGGACAGGTGCCAAAGCTACAGAGAAACCCTGTCTCAAAAGAATAAAAAAACAAAATTATTTTGATAATGTCTCAACAAAAAGTCTCTCCATTTATAATGCTGACAAACTGACTAGTACAAAAAATTATATACAGTGTATTTTTAGCTGCTAATGTGTCTTGGTGGAGTTCAGGTGGTGCTGGGGAAGGGAAAAGGTGTTTGCCTTCCATTCCTGTGTCCATGCAACACACAGTGAATAAAGGTGCTCCAGCCTGTGCTCGGGTGCTGAGAACTCCCCTTTGCTGGGCTCTCGTTACCCTTCAGAATACTTCTAATTGTCCATGTAATTAGCTTTCCACAACCTTACATAGCTGTCATCTCCTGAAGATGCTAGCACTGTTCCTGTTATATTCTAGCTACCTGCCAGACATGAGAATTATGATCACCAAACTAAGCCACAATCTGGATTTAAATTATGTTGGACCACCAGAAGTAAGTTCTTTCCTCACAAGTTTTAATGTGAAAATTCTTATATCTTTAGTTGCTATTGCCAGAATGTGGAAAGGTCTTTCCAAATTTGGAGCAAGTACAATATCATGAACAGGATCAGTGGTGGTCATAAGAGTTTCCGCTTGCATTATTCATGGTGTTTTAGCTGTAATAAAAACTCTGGTCCAGGCGGTGGTGGCGCACGCCTGTAATCCTAGCAATTGGGAGGCAGAGGCAGGTGCATCTCTGAGTTTGAGGCCAGCTTGGTCTACAAATCGAGTTTCAAGACAGACAGATCTGTTACGCAGAGAAACCTAGTCTTGTAAAACCAAAACCAAACTGAAATAAAACCCAAACACACAAAAGAAAACCCCCGCACCTCAGCCATTGCATGGACTGGACTAGTGCTACCACTTCCCACAGCTGTCTGGAGGGGTGAGTGCAGTAGCTGGAAGTGGTCCAGGAAACATGAGCTGTCACTCGGCAGAGCGCGGGCCGAGATCTACAACATCTGGTGTCTCGCACCTTCTTACCACACCATCTGCTGGACAGGTTGCTGAAGTCAGACCCATATGCGTGGGAGCAGATTTCACATTGGTAATGAATGCTGTGCCCTCCTCACCCAGTGACTCTGTCCTCACAGTTTATCACTTGATTCTCCTGCTCTTTCTTTCCCACACAACAGCTGTTAGGTCAAAAGAACAGGAGGCCGAAACCGGTCCACATTCAGGATGCGCCGTGTCCCACAGAATGCAGATCACTGCGTGTCTTCCATCCAGCAGTGCAATGCCAACCTCCACTTTCACTTTATCTCAGACCTTCCTGAGACGGGGAACCACCTCTCCCTGCGGGCACTGACATTTGTCAAGTACCGTTAAGCCTCAACCTTCTGGTCAGTTGCTGGAGCAGATGCCATCGGGAACCTGTGGAAGGTGAAAGACACATTGTAAATGGTGTCCTTGTGGTCCACTGCGATGCTGCGGGCCACAGACATGGCCATCGTCACCTGTTTTCTTATTTGTTGCTTCAGAACTTACAGAACGTGTGACCAGTGAGAGGTGGAGCTGTCGTTTTTAACCTTGTATCAGTTCTCACTGCTGTTGAATTTTATTATAGGGACTGAACAAAATTTAACTGTTTATTCTTACTCAGTCATGTTAGAACAAAGCCACCCCAAGCCTCTGTGTGTTTCACACTGTATGGTGGAGTTGAGTCAGTGTGACAGAGATTCAAATAGTTATCTGACTCTGTAGGAGAAGTATAATCTGTCGCAAAATGAACCTTATTTAAAATCTCTGTTATGAATAATTGAAAATATGTTGTTTTATCCTTCCGTTTTAGTAAATATAAAGGTTTCATTTTCAAAGTTTATTTTTCTAGGACAAAGCATCATATTTGTTCAAAATAGCAAAAGCGATGTCAGCATCTGCAGGGCCCTTCAACCAGAAACACATCTTTTCAGAGATTTCCACTCACAGAAACCTAGAATCCTTGACTTTGTCCCTAGAAGTTTCATGATTGGCCTATATGGAGCAGAGTTGGAATATATTAAGAGATTTTTTTACATAGAGATACTTAGGGAAAGAGTAAAATAGATCCAGATTTTAAGGGAGAATCACACTTACTGTCTTTAAAATAGCCACTGTGTCTGGGGTGTGATGATGTACCCCTTTAATCCTAGCATTCAGCAGGCAAAAGCAGAACCAAGCAGATTTCTGTGAGTTTGAGGCCAGCCTGGTCTACATGGAGAACAAAATTCTAGGACAACCACAGCTACATAGTGAGTCTCTGTGTGCCCCCCCCCAATGTAAAAATAAAGACAAATGTACATTATTGGTATCGTATGAAGTTGTAGCTCAAAGAGTTGCCAGAGAACTAACTTAAAAGTGAGGTCACCAGAGTGAGAGCTGTGGTAAACTTGGGTAGATTACAGCTTGAGAAAGAAAACTACCCCAGGCCACAGGACTGCAGAGGAGATGATGTTTCAAATGATTCTGTGTACACGGGTGTTTTGTGTACACGTAATTTACACTGCAGTATATGTACACCTGGTACCAATGGAGGCCAGAAGAGGGCTTAGGATCGCCTGGAACCGGAGTGAGCAGATGGTTGTAATCTATCGTGGGGGTAATGGAAATCAAATTCTGGTCTTCTAGAAGAGTAACCCAGTGCTCTTAAATGCTGAGCCATCACTCCAGCCCCATATGCTGGATTTCTTATTTTTCACTTAACAAATTCTTTAGACTCTGGAGCATGGGGACTCCTAATGTCTTCTTAATTTTTTGTCCTGCATAGGATAACTGTTGTTTTTATTTTTTTCACTAATCAAAACAGCCTTCACCTTTCCCCCTGAAACTCTGTCATAATCACTATAAAAATAGTACTTAAAATTGGGCATGATGGCACACATCTTTAATCCCAGTACTCAGGAGGCAGAGGTAGATAGGTCTGAGTTCCGGGACTGCATGGTCTATACTGGGAGTCCACGCCAGCCAGGACTGTACAGACTCTGTCTCAGAGATTGTAAAGTATCCCAGCGTGTTCTGTCTTCAAGTCTTGTTCAAGATCAGGGCGCTTTTTTTTTTTCTGAGTTACTTAATCCAAATCAAAGATCTCATTCTCTTTTAAAATTTAAAAGATATTTTACATATATTTAGTGTGAGGTTTTGTGTGCATAATGTGTCTGTCTGTCTGTCTGTGGAAGTCAGGAGACAGCTTTCTCCCCCCACCACGTGGGCTCTGCTGGTAGAATTCAAGCTTGACAGCGACCTTGACTTTTCCTGCTGAGCAGTCTCTCTGACTCTCATCTCCGTAATAAAGCCCTCTTTGTGTAATACCCACACCGTGAATATTTTTTCCACGTATGTTTACATCTATTTTTAAAATACATTTTTTGTTTGTGTGTGTGCACGCATGTAGAGGTCAGAGGGCAACTTGTAGACATCAGTTCTCTTTTTACTGTGTGTGTCCCAGGAGTTGAACCAGGGCTGAGACTTGCAGTTGGAGATAGCACCTTAGCTGCTGAGCCCAGTCGGCCGCTCGTCTATTTCTTTTGAGAATATTTTATCTACGTGTAAGTGAAGAACTTACACTATGGTTCTAATTTGAAGCTGTCGCTAAAGTTAAATCTGGGTTAGACTAACCCTTTATATCCTGTTAAAAAGAAAATAATTTCCTTTTTTCTGTTTTGAAGTGATGCTTGTACTGTGCTCTGATGGTCCCCTGTCTCCACAGCTGTGCATGCCCAAAGGGCTGTCTTTCAGAACACAAGCGGACAATAAGGAGCCCCAGTTCCACTCGTTCATCATCACCCGCGAAGACGGTTCTCGCACCTACGGCTTTGTTCTCACTTTTTATGAAGAAGTCACAAGTAAGCAGATCTGCACAGCGATGCAGACGCTGTACCAGATGCACAATGCCGAGCAGCACGGCAGTGTGTACGCTTCCTCCTCCTGCAGCATGGACTCGCTGGCAAGCAGTATTGATGAGGGAGACGCAACCTCTCTTTTGAAACTCCAGCGATACAACTCTTACGACATCAACAGAGACACCTTGTATGTTTCAAAAAGTATCTGCTTGATCACACCTCTGCCTTTCATGCAAGCCTGCAAGAAATTCCTCCTCCAGCTTTACAAGGCTGTTACCTCTCAGCAGCCACCACCCTTGCCCCTTGAGAGCTACATCCATAATATTCTCTATGAGGTACCCCTTCCACCTCCTGGGAGGTCACTAAAGTTTTATGGTGTTTATGAGCCTGTCATCTGCCAGAGGCCTGGGCCCAATGAACTTCCTCTTTCTGACTACCCTCTCCGAGAGGCCTTCGAGCTCCTGGGATTAGAGAACCTCGTTCAAGTGTTTACCTGTGTCCTTCTAGAGATGCAGATCCTTCTCTACTCACAAGGTAGGTGTCCTTGGCACTTTGTTTTCTAAAAGCAAGTACTTATGCCTGTGCTACCCTATTTCATTGTGGATTCAATTAATGACCCAAAGTCTCTTCTGTTTTGCATAAAGAGAATAGGCTTGGGTGAGATGAGAAACTATTTTGTTTCTATTTGAAGTGACAGTGACTGCAGAGATAAACAGGAAGGTATCGAAATTGTTTTGTTGACCTATTTGGGGGTATTTATTTGTTTATATTTTTAAATGAAAACAACTCTTTACCCACAACATATAATCATTAGATACATTGAAACCTGTTACTCTCAGTGACTAATGGACTTTTTTTTATTTTTTGAGGCAGGGTTTCTCTGTGTAACAGCCCTGACTGTCTTGGATAGCTCTTGTAGACCAGGCTGGCCTTGAACTCACAGAGATCCACCTGCCTCTGCCTTCTTGCACCACCACCACCCAGTTTGGACTCTGTTTCTTTATTTACAAATTGACAAAGTTTTACATGGAAATTCAGGTGGCATTTGAAAGTAATAAATATAATGTTTACTCTGCAACTTCCTGAGGCAGATAACTTTGGACATTTGCCTGTAGGAACATTTTATGAGTGAGAAAGAGATGTGCAGGTAGGAAACAGATTGCCTCCCCAGACCTAGCAACAGATCTGCTAGAGTTGTGTGTAATTGTGTTTTTAACCTCCCAAGTCCCAGATGGTGTTATCTTTATTGTATCTTTTATTCAGTGTCTCCCAACACAGATTTAGTTAAGATACTAACAAGTTGAATTTTGTTTCACTAGTATCTGACTAGTGAATGACTGATACTGAGCCTAGACTAGGATACCTGTTCCCATCTGAACATGAATTTACAGAAGCAGAGATGTTATGTCATAAAGCTACTGAATGGTTGGAAACTGTAAACTAGCCATGTGCACTGTTGAGACTTTGGAAAATATGGCACAGATATCTGGATTAGCATTTTGCTACTTTGTATTTAGGTTGGCAGAATTGTGGAACAGGCTCCCACTGTTGCTGTCATGTTTATTTTTTTCACTTTCTTTTTTTATTTTTCTATTTTAAATTATAAGTGAAACTGAGCCAAGCAGGCTATATTTATGCTTCTCCATCTTGTGTGTGTGTTGACACTATTTGTGTGTTGACAGCACTTCATGAGGTTTCTCAGTTTATCCTACGTAATAGTTTTTGATAATGTGTTCAGTGTTGTGCTTTGTTGTCAGGGAGTGCTCCAGTGGCTCATCTGAGTCCTTTATGTTCCTCTTGCCCTCTTTCTTAGTGCTCACCGTTACCTGTTACTCTTTTCCCTGAAGAGGTGGTGGCGATGGAGAGTTGCGCCATGCCAGCTCTCGGTGAGGGTTTGGGGATTCGAATGTTTAAATGATGGAGAAACGGCTCAGTGGTTACGAGCTGGACTCCTGCTGCCCCTGCAGCCGACTCACATTGCAGCTCCCAACAGCCTGTAACTCCAGTCAGGGGATCTAAGACCTTTTGATCTCCAAGGACATGAGGCACAGACATACACTCGAGCAAAGCACTCATACACCTAAAAAAAAAATAACCTTTTTAAAACGTTTAACCAGTATTGGTTTTAGAAGTCATAAATGCTTTGGTTTCAAATCTCTGCTCTGTCCCTTATTAAACTATAGGCCCTGTGGGTCACTGACTTAATTTTCAGAAGTCTTGGTCCCCCATATCTCCTGGATGCTTTGCCACCCACACCTGATTAGTTGCGGAAGTTAAATGAGAAGACCCATCTAGAATTTTTAGACTATATGTGATGCTCCTTTTATCCAGGGGGAAATTGAGGCCCAGGGGGGATAATTAGCACAAGTAAGCAATGGGATAGTCCAATGTAGGCTTCCATCCACCTCTCCTGACAACTAAACCACGTTGGCAACTGTACTGGGCCGACACATAACCTCCCTACGTCTCAATACTTACCTTTAAATTACTTGCTCATTCTTCAACTATATGGTAAATGTAACATACTAAATAGTTGTAAAATATGAAACAAAAGCTTTGTGTAGATGCAATTTTGGTGGTTTTTAACATTGATAATGTCTCTCCCCTTAGAGAAAGACACTAAAATGAACACATTTTAAAAGGAATCTTTATGTTGATTTGCCCTCTGGTGCCCTTTTTCCCCTCTGTGATTCTGTGTAAGGGGTTTAAGTATATTTGCCACTTCATTCCTTACATATTGATAAATATATGCCATACGGTTTAAAGGTGCTTAAGAACCAGACAGTTACCATGGAAACCCATGACTCTAAGTAGATGGATTTCAGTGATGAAAGTGTTCATTAAACTGACTTGAAATTTTAATCCACAATTTATTTAGACGGATTCAGTCTGTTATCTAGAGAGTAATTCTGTCACAATCTTTTTTCAGTGGCTATAAATTTTTAAGTAGAGAATGCACCCAGGAAGTCAAGACTGTTTCCTAGTACCTCATATTAGAAGAGTGTCTGGAGGTTACATGAAGCCAGACATGATCCTCTTTTCAAAAGAACAGTGGAAATATAAAAGATGGAGAATTTAAACACCAGTGTCTGACTTTTTGTATCAATAATTAAAGCCTCCAGAACACTTTTGGGTCTTGCTTACGTACTCCTTTGGTTCTTCACAGAGGAAATAAGCAGTTACTGCCACCTACACCAACTCTTGTTCCTGTTCCCGTGCCTCTGCGGGACTCCTCTGCCATCCCATAGTACTCTTCTCTGTCACTAGTTGTTGGAAAGCAGAAGCTACTTGGAGATTTTTTTAGAATGTTGGAAGTCTTCATTGTATATTGCAGTCATGCCAAAGTAGACTGCACTTGCTGGTTATACCTTATTAATCATAAAAACAAACCAAATATTTTGATAGAAAGAAGCTATGTTTCCATGACCTTGATGCAAAAAGCAATATAATTTAACCAATTAATATTTTAGTATTACTAGATTTGGGGGTTGGGGGTGAGGAGTTGCCTTGAACATGTTAGGCAAGTGTTCTACCAGTGAGCACATCTCCATGTGCTATTTTATGTTAAATTTACCTCAGTGTCGTTAGAATTGTTTCTCTTTTTGTGTGTTTTGTTGTTGTTTTTCCAGTCAGGGTTTCCTCTAGGTAACAGCCCTAACTGTCCTGGAACCAACTACGTAGACCAGGCTGGCCTCAAATTCTGCCTCTGCCTTCGAAGTGTTGGGATTAAAGGTGTGAGCCATTCAGTGATTTTTTTTTTTTTTTTTTTTTTTTTTTTTGAGATAAGAGTCTCTTGTGGCCCTGGCTGGCTTTGAGTTCGCTGTGTATCTCTGAGGATAACCTTGAACTCCTAATTCTCATTTCTCCACCTCCCAACCCAAGTGGGGTTACAAGCTTATGTCACCATGTCTAGCTCTATTTGTGTTGTTTTTAAAGCGGTAAGGAAGATTTTATTCAAGCCAATAATGTTTGTTTATTATTGTTGGAGCCCACAAGACTGCACAGTGAAGGCACAGCTGACAGACCAGTAGACGGATCGTGTGTATGCACATGTCTACTACATACACGTCCACATGGAATAACTCGTTTTGCAGAGCTGTGGGAACACATGGCTTTTGAAAAAGTCGCTGTCATATCTGTGGAAACCTTGTGAAGCCATGGTTCTTCCCTTCAAAATGGGATTCATTCCCAGAACAGCTCAGCAGTGTAACCTCTGCACTGGTTGCTCTACTCCTCCACACCAGGAGGCCTTGGAAGGATGGAATTCATTCACTTTTTGTTCTAGCAGACAAATTTACATAGAATCATCCCTTAAAATTACCTGCTCACAGACCACACAGAAATTTCTATAGAAGACAGGCACTGAGCAGGAAGGCGGCATGCCCCACCTTTGCTAACAAACAAATCCTGGCGTCCCCAAAGCTGGTTATCAGAAAAGAGATTAGATGAGGAGAAAGGGTGAACCCAGGATTCAGGGATGGTTTGGGACGTCAGGTACTTCCCCTTGGATGCTGGCTCTTCCCTGAGCCGGGTCACCCGCTCCGAAGTACTACTTTGTCATAGTGTCATTGTCCTTGCCTATGGAATTTTCCAACTACAGCTATAAAAACTAGAAACCTCATGGGATCAGTTCTTCCTCTTCCTCTTTCTTCTTCTTCTCCTCCCTTACTCTCCTTCTTCCCCTTCTTCTCCACACTCTTTCGCTTCACCTTCTCCCCTCGCATGATAAAGAACACGCAGAGGTAATGAACCTGAGTTCATCTGTTTTACCCTCAGATCCTCGCCTGCCACAGACATCTAATTCCGAGCCCTGAGGGGTACTGAGGCGGGTACTCAAGGCCCCCCAATAGCCAATTGTGATAGATGTATGGGACTACCCTATGCAAGCAAGGAAGCCTTTAATAGTCTGATTTTACACTGCCCATCTATCTAACATATGACAGTGAAAGACCCCCAGTGCTGGGGAGACTCTCACTCAAGTCTCGGGATAACACGACCCCCTTAGTAACTCACGAGAGACCGTCCTTGCTGCAATCACACGAGGCTTTAATGATGAGATGAGACGGGAACCAGTGCACTGAGGCCGAGACTCATAACCCACGCAGGGGAAGAGTTCGACCCCGAGTGACCAGGAGAACCGATTTTTAAGGTAAGAAACCACAGCCCAGTGATCCGGAATTGGCAGGGAGAGTGTGTCACAGAAAATTCCGAAAACACCAGTGAAGTTTACAAGGGGGCAACCCCCTGCCTCTCAGGACCACTCCCAACGTCATAATCAGCTAGTTCTTAAAACACATTACAATGACAATCACAAGGGGGAAACTCCCTGTTTCTCAAGATTATTCTCAAGATTACAACCTAACTATCTTTGGCTAGTTCCTGAAACACAGTCACTAACCGGCTAATCCTAGATTTTTGATTCTTCTCTTCCTGCTTGGATTTTTGGCTATTTTCTTCCTGCTGGGGAGGTCTGGATTTATCCAGGTCTTTCAATAGAGTCCTGAGTCAGTAAACATCTTTACCATAACGTCTGC